TTCCCTTTTATTCCATCACCCCACCAAAAATTACTTATCATTAACTGAATGTCATTGAGCAATGAATCAAGGTATTTTGAAACAAGACATAGAATATGTAGGGACAGCCTGAACCCCAGCCTTGATCATTACTTTCTTCCCTGCCTTTGACAATCGCTGTTCATTCCAACCATGTCTCTTTTGCCATATTCTATCTTTTATTGATGAGAAAACTGTACTTTTTGAGCGCCCAATAACTATTGGAAGGCCAAGATATCTGTCATGTGCCATAACCTCTTCAATACCAAGATAACTGGTTATCCTATGCCGCACCTCTGGACTAGTATTGCTGCTAAAAACTATAGCAGATTTGTCCAAATTTATTTCCTGTCCCGAAGCAGATTTGTAGAGTTGCAAAATGGACTAGATATGCTGAGCCTCACGGAGTGTTGAAAGAATAGCTTTCAAACTCATAGTGACTGCAACATAACTATTTTACCATTGCAACACAGAAGCTCCAAAACAAAATTGGAGTTGAAAGGATAGATTATAGCTTGACATACATCATTGTGGATGGCTACCTAAGAACCTGAAGAAGGCAAGTGATGAAGTTCCCTTGGAGTATCCTACTTAATTCCTGCTTTGGATTGTCATTTTTTTTCAAAAAATTTTTATGTTTGCCGTGAATGTATTTTTTAATCACATTTTTACCTTATATATATATCAAATTGCTACAATATATATTTCTACAAAAAATTCTAGAAAATAGCAATCCAGACGGGCTCTGATTTTTTTGTTCTTCCTTCATCTCCATCTATGCTTTTGATAAACCCTCAGTGGTCCAGAAGGCCTGAGCTAAGAGTCATGAATTTTCTCTTTTGGGCATATTATCTTTTCTTTAATCCTTTCACAAAAAGCTAGAAAACGAATTGGGCTTTTGTACAAAACCAAAATGAGGCAGCTTTTCATTTTCACTTGTACTAAAACAACAAATTGGCACAAAAAGAAACCTGTTTTTTATTTCGTTTTAGGATGATAAAAATACTTAAAATAGGACAATATCTAAATAAGGAATAGATGTAAAATTAGAACAATTGGTTAAAAAAAAAAACATTTTGTTTTCTTTTTCCCATTAAATCCCAAAGGTTTAGCTGTACAAAGTGGTCCTAGGAGAAGAGGCAATTTGTTTTTTTTTTTTGAAAGTTGGCAAATTAATTCACTCACTCCAAAAATAGCTAATAATTCTTAACTCAGTTTCTAATTTTCGTATTTTCAGAATGAATTGGCAAATTTGTTTTGAGATTTTTAAACTATATCTTTGTTTTATTATAGTTTTGCAATTATCAATAATAATACATTCGGCCTAAAGATACTCAATGTCATAATTGTTGTAAGAATTTAATTTAAGCTAATCCTACTTGTAAGACTATATACATTGTTTCACAAGACAGTAGAAAATTGGGCATGGGTGAAGTTATTCAAAGAAAACAAAAAATCATTTATCCAGTTGTCTACTGTGATTGTTGAATAATTCTTGAATGCTATGTGCTTTTATGTCCATCGTCTTGTTTATAGAGTATCTTTTGGATTAGATTTAGTAATAGTTCTATTTATTTTTAAAATTAATTTTCTATACACTGATAATATATATATTCTCAGGTTTGGATGCTTAACAATTAATGTAAATTTAAAATTTGAAATCCAAGTCTTATATATGTCATGCATCCAGCCATATACACTATCAGTATATGTAAGACCTGTTTGATAATTCAATTCAGCACTTAAATTTAATAGATTCAGATCTTAACGTATTCAGACCATTTGACAACCAAAAATTGAATATCTGAATTAATTAAGTGGCACTGAATTTTCTAGGCAAAATTTGCTCCCAAAATTAAGTGATAAACTACTCACTTATCATTGAATGTGATATGCACTCAAATGTATTAGATTTAATACTTAACAATTCAATAACTTGATGGATTCAGATTTCAGATTTCAAATTTCAAACTTTAGTTTTATCAAACGCACCCTTATTATTTTTCCCTTCAAACCCAATCATTACGATGCCTTCATGCCTATGCCTATTCAAGGGTCTATATTACTTGTCACCCTAGGACCATTTGGTTATTATTTTTTTTCAAATTTCCCAATTCCTATTGGTTATTATTTTTTCTAGATTTACCAATTTCTTTGTCTTGGTAATAGGCATTCATCCAGCGATGGAAATAATATATATTTGAAATTCCTAAAATTAAAAGTCCAAATTTTGATGTGAATTTAGTCTAACTATATGTTAGCATTCTTATTATAAATTAGTTGTAAAATTCTATTTGAGTTAATCTCCTTATTATTATGCAATTGTGTTCTTAAAGAAAAAATTTCAATCCCCCCCCCCCCTTTATAGTACATATCAATAATGAAAAGTAACTAAAATCTTCAATCTCTTTCCATCTTTGACTTTGACATAATATGGAAATGACTTGAGTGCAGGAGGGAAGGGGACGGGAGCCTAAAGAACCTATAAGATATACAAATTTGATTAGATCAAAAGAGCGTTCTGACACTTCTTTTGAATTTTTTCACTGTAAAGTGCTCTGACACCTTTTCTGAAATTTTTTTTTTTTACTGTAAATGGGGTTCGTCCCCAACCTACAGAGTGGTTTTTTATGTTATGATTAGTGTGCAAAAAGAAATTGACCACGAAGGTCAGTATGGTATAAGTATTCTGTCTGTCTCATTTGTATTTACACCATGGAGTACAACATCTTCATTTATGTTATGGTCTATGGTTTATGATTATGATTTCATTTATATCATGACAGCTAATTATGATGTATCTATCTGTTAGATTTTATGCTTGACTTAAGTTTGGATCAATTAATATAAATTTTGAAATACACAGGGTAAAAAGTTCATTTAAAATTTTGTAGCAAGGAGAAGGGGTAGTTCCTTTAACCAAAAAAAAAAAAAAATCTAATGAGGAGAAGGGGTGAGATTTAAAAAATAAGGGAAGTGATTACAACCATGTAAAAAACTCAAACGTATTCGAGCTAGACTTGAATTTGATTCGATAAAACTTATTTAGATTTGCCTCAATAAACAAATTAGCCAAATTTAAATATAATTTCAAACTCATTAACACAAATAAATAAGTTTGAACACTAAAATGTGATGTAACCAATAAAAAGTTACTCCTATCTCAATTGGATTGCTATTTTTTACATTTTTTTGTAGAAAAATATAATGTAACGATTTAATATATACGAAGTACAAAGGTATTTGAAAAATATAGTAACAGAAAATATAAAAATATTCTGTAAAAACTCATTAATAAAATTTTGACTGCGCATCCCAAAGTTTGAATTGAGTTCTCGTAATTACAAAAAATGGTTACAAAGGGGCTTAGGTTTATCGAATCCCAAGTTTTCTCCATCTGGGGAAGCTCACAATCATTATAGTCCTATGGTCCGAAGCCTTTCCCGAGTTCAAATTCCATAAGAATTAGAAAATGGTAGACAAAGGGCCTACTGGTATAAAAATAAATAAATGATTGAATAAAAAAGGGGATAATTTCAGAAACCTCCCCTAAAGTTTCTAACAATTACACATAAATATCTTTCAATATCAAAAATTACACTACCCTCCCCATTTACTTTGATGTGACCAGATGTCATATTCAACAGTAATAAATTGACTAAAATATCCTCACAAAATCAGTCCCTAAAATATTAGAAATATGGGAAAAAGGCCTTGCTTGGATTGAAGGTTTTCGTCGGAAAATATTATCGTTTTCCGTGATCACATTTCCCTATCACCTTTTTCCCTCACATATATCAAATCGCTACAGTAATTTTTCCATGAAAAATGACGGAAAATGCAATCCAAACACAACCTAAGTCTTCCAAGTATAATATTTTTATATGCAATTTGGCGCCATTAAGTGGATGACCTTGTTGAGATTTTTTGTTTTTTGTCTTGGATTGCTTATTATGGGTATTCAGTCAACTTGAAAGTGTATGACCTTCTTATTTATTATATTTAAGACTTGTTTTAGTTTATACTTTATAGTGCTTTGTACATTTAGAATCTTTGATTTTGAAGCATGGAAGATATACTCCTACTAAATATTGTAGATGGATTTAAATCCACTATTTTGTGGCCTTCTAGTTCTACCACTATCTAATTACCAAGGGTCAACTTTTGCTGGTACATTCTTACAATTTTATGCATATTTCAAATATACTTTACAATCTCAATTTCTGTTTTTGATCCTCAATGATGTGCCGCATGAAATGGGCTCTGATGATTGTTTGATAAGGACATGTTTCTCTGGTTGCCTTTGCATTTAGTTGAAATTGGCCTTGGTTTTTCGCTCATTTACCAGCATTTTATGTTATATATTGTCCACAAAGCACCGTTGCACTTCCAACAGATCTTGTAGGACTTTACTGTCCAAAATGCTTATTTGTTTAATGTTTTTTTCATGTCCTAAGTGGATCAAATTTGTGCCAATTTTTCTTCCTTTTTTTATTGCCATTTTTCTTGCCCAAAATTTTAACTCATTTTCTCACGGGTTCAATGAGGGCAAACTTGAAATATAATTGTTTGATAAGACTAATTCATTACTTTTAAGATTACCTTTTCTCACATGAACTTAGTTTGTTATCAAATATATCAATCAAGGGGAGGACAATGTAATTTTTAATATTAGAGGGTATTTATGTATAATTGCTAGAAACCTCAGGGGAGGTTTCTAAAATTATCCCTAAAGAAAATCAAAATACTAGATAAAAAGAAGAAATCAAGACAGAAAAAGAATAACCGAAAAAGTGAAGGATGTTTCCATAAATAAAAGCCTAACCCCTAAACAACAAGTTTTTGGTTATTTATAAATCTGACCCTAAAACCCTCACCTCTATTCATTCTCGAACCCCTCCCGCGGCCATCAATTCCTCATTGCCTGCCCATCCCCCTATCCCCTCACTACCCCTCCACCCCCACCCCCCCCCACCCCCATCCCGGCCAGCCCGCCCCTTCCCCTTCCCCTTCCTCTCTATCTTCAAAATCCCAATTCAATTATAATAACGGCAATTCTTCTACAGTAGAGCGAAGTAGGGTTTCTTTTTTTGGCCCCCCTTCATTTTACAGATTTTTTTTAGATAATAAATCTTGTATTTGTATTGAAATTCTTCGATCCGCTTTCGTATCGATTGGATTTGAATTCATGGAAGAAACAGGTCAACAGAGCTTCGATCGATTCGCTCCCATCTCGTCTCCTGGTTTGTATCATAGCTCTACTTTCGCGTATATGTATGATTTTTTTTTTTTTTTGCATAGCAAATCTTGGTTCTGTTATTTTTCTGAATTGAATTTGGTAGCTTTGCTATCTTTCTTTGTATAACGGATATTGAATTTGGTAGATTGACAAGGGCGTTGGCCGACTTGAATTGGGTTTTTCTGGAAAGTTTTGCGTTTTTAGTTGCTTCTTTACCTGTCGTTGGCATGCTGATTAGGGTTCAAGATATAATGAGGATCATTTATGGTGTTTTAATATCGTTGGCATGCTTCTTTTCCTGGAAAGGTGATTACAGTAGTATTCGTAAATGTGGAAAGGTGGCATGTATGTTAAGTTTACTCAGAAAGGTCTCAGCAGAAAATTTCTTCATTGATGTGCCTTTATCAGAAAGATGTTTTCGTGTGCTGAGAAAGTAAACGGTGCTTTTTCTCATCGAACTTGTATTATCACATGTTTATCCCCATTCTGATGAAAGCTTAGCCTAATCTTGGAATCTCTTACAGTCACGCATAATAGAATTACTAAGTCCCACCTCCCGATTATTTGGTAATGGGAATTGTGGGGGGGCGGGGGATGTTTCCAACGTGGAGTTTGTGCAGATAGCCCTTTTATGTATAAACGGATGTTGGGAATCTATTAATGACATGGTGATTTTGTTCAACAGTTGAAAACTTTGCAATTGTTATATGTCCTGTACCTAATGCTTCTGGGGATGACATGTTCGTTTTGAGACTAAATGTTTCTTAATAGTTGCTTATTCTGTTGTATTACTGGTAAATAATTGGTGTATTACTTATATTCTTGATGATTTTAAAGTGGGAATGAGGTCAATATTCTTTCCCACGTTGCAATAGATAAGAAAGAGGAAAATAAGAATGGTATCATGCTTTCTTACTTGTTGCTTAGAAAGTGTATTACTTATTGTTGCTGATAGTATGAATTTTTTGGTTTCAATGCAGGGGAGCGAGCTATTGAATTGCATAATGTGACAGAACAGGTAAATCCATATAACTCATGATTATACTGTGTTTCTTTTGTTTCTCTAATTCTCCTTTAGCTTAGGTCTATTAGTACTTCCTTTTCAATCTATTATCAGCCACTTTCGCCCAAAGATGAAAGGATTATTTCTGCAAATCCTTCTCCGGATGCAGCCATCTCAGGGGCTCCAAGAAATGCCAAAGATCAGCCTGTTCCCTTGGATAAGAGTGGAGCTCTTACCACTGTGCATCCACTTGATGTGCCGCATGAACAAAGTTTTTACTTTGGAGGTTAGGTCCTTTTATAGTGCTGTTCTTGCTGATTTAGCGGCTATAGTCTTCTTCTCAACGTTTCTCTGACCATACATGTGGGCTACATGATATCTTTCTTGCTTCTGTTCTCATGACAGAGCTTTCGACTGTGTTGAACTGTGTGTATCTGCCATTCTTTCATGGGGCGTTGTATTGCTTTGTGGGTATTACAATTATTTTTGCTTCTTTTTATGTCTGCAAGAGAGGGGTGTTGTTCCCTCTTGCTTAATATTTTCGTGGGGTTTCAGCAGCATAAAATTTGTGAATCTTATGCTCTTTGTGAAGGTTCTGGTCAACATGTCACGAGTTTGAAACTGTAATACTGAGTGAATATTGGGCTTAATTACTTTAGTACTGATATGTAGCGTACCAATTTTTCTCAACTTCCACATCTTTGAATCACTGTTTGTTAGTTTGGCATATGTTTTGCTTTTTTGGTTCCTTGTACTTTTCTCCAATGTACAGAAAGTTTTCATTGGTCATCATTTTTTTTGTTGTACTTAAAACTCATTATTCATCTTTCCTTGGTTCAGGTCTTGACAATGGCACTGGGAACTGGGATGAGCATTCTAACTATGTTAATCCTAACAGCTTACATGTTGTACCTCCAGTGAGTTTCGTCAATTTGATATTGTTGCCTTGACTAATTATGCACAGAGGCATGAGACAGACTTTTTTATTCTATTTATTTAATTGGGTATTTTGCTACATGTAGGGAATGTATAATGAAAACCCATCACTATTTTTCCCTCCTGGTTATGGCTATGACACCCAGATGGCATATGGACAGTTCTCTCCCATTCCGAGTCCAATCTCCACAATAATGATTGATGGCCAGTTTTACTCTCCGCACCAGATCCCAGTGACACCACCTTATTTTCCAGCAGTTTCACCTGGACTACCACATGTTAGTTCAGCTCTTACAGTCTCACAGACTGATCTAATGGCACCAGCAACTAGTGGACAAGAAAGCTTAGTTGATAATGCGCTTTTTGGGCCAAGTTCAGGCTTCTATGTACCTTTTGGATCTTTTGGGGGAGGGGACCTTTCTGGAAATAGTAGCCTTGGTTTCTATAAGTTCCCAGGGGATTTTGGGTCTGCTGAAGGATTATCAAATCAATCAAGTTCCCTGGAATCAAGCAGGTACATGTCTCAGTTAACATCAGGAGCGGTATATCCACAGCCAATTGGCATTCTTGGGCCATACGAGCAAAATGTCGCTCAGGTTAGTTGTCTCATGATCTCCTTGATTCTATGTAGTGATATCTGCGAGAAAAATAATTGGAACTATTTTTCTGATATCAATTGTTTTTTAAATATATTTCTTGTCCTCTTGTAAACTTTACATGATGTGAAGCTGAATAACTCTTCTTGTCCATGAAATAATTCATTACAATTGGGCATTATTCATGTTTCATGTATTCTTTTCTTCATTTCTTGACTTGAGTTAATCTTAATCAGCCTATTTTATTGGTTACTCAAATGTATTTGTTTAAGTGACAAGAATATCTAAGAAAAAGTAGCATCCAGGATGCTTGTTTGTACTTGATATTCTTGATACTTTGTGCTCCACCATTGCCGGAATTTTTTCTATTCTTATTTCTTGAGTTTGTTGCCAACAGAATAAGTTTGGAAGTTTACAAATTTTAATAGTTGAGTGATAATCTTTTGACAGTCAAATTGCTGGATTTATTTAAAAGCAGAATGCACTATTGCTCTATGTCTGAAAGGGTGGTCTACGTCTAGCCCCATGCTCTTCTTTTTTTAAAAAAAATTAAATCACATGTCCAAATGACTATGCCATCTACATTTTGTGGTTAAACTAGCGGCAGGCAATTGCATCAGTAACGTCATTCAAATTCTTTTCTTTTCCTGAAATATTGAGCATTCTGCACTCCTAGAATGCATCTTCATAGTTGCTTAAAGATTTTATTCCTTACACATTGTTGGCTACATGTTTATTACCATGTAAAATGTAATTGTTGGCTACATGTTTATTAGTATGTAAAATGTCTATCTGAAGTGAGTAATGACAAACGAATGACATGAGATATGCTAATTTAGTTTGTTAATTTTGTCTCACTTTCCTTTTGAAGGTCTATGCTAATTTAGTTTATTAATTTTGTCTATCTTTTTTTTTTGGTTTGGAAGGTTGAAATATTTTTGTCATCTTTATAATGCCATCCTGCACTTTTTGTTCAAAGCTGCAACTAGATCAACTTTCAATTTGTTTCTTTCTCTTTGTATTTTTTCTTTTCTGTTGAATTGCTTAACTACTTGGCTCATTTCGCTTCTGGACCAGTTGATTTAGTTATTAATTTTTGGATTGCAGGCGCCATATCAAGGGCTGGGGTTAGCGTCAAGCTCGTCTGCTAGACATTATCCACATAGTGGCTCTTACCAGGGCATGAAATATGGTACAGGTTCCAGTTCTCACTGGGATAACCAGCGGAACAGACTGGGTCTAGATAAAGGAGGAAGGCGTGATAGAGAAAAGGACTCTCTGAACTACTCTAATGATTCTTTAGGAATTTCAAGTGATAGAAATAGAGGACCTAGGGCTTCAAAACCAAAAAGCAAGAATTCTGCTGAAGAGAATGCTTCATCTGGCATACGTAAAGATGTTGAATCTACTTCTGGCTTTCAGCTTGACCAGTATAACAGTCCAGAGTTTGTCACTGATTATGAGAATGCCAAGTTTTTTGTGATCAAGTCTTTCAGTGAAGATAATGTTCACAAGAGCATTAAGTATGGCATTTGGGCTAGCACACCACTTGGAAACAGAAAGCTTGATGCTGCTTATCATGAAGCAAAGGACATGACAGGCAACTCCCCGGTCTTCCTTTTTTTCTCGGTATGTTTTTTGAGCGTCTGGATCAGATTTATGGAAGCCTGTTTGTTTCCGTTTATGTCTTTTCTGCTTGAGGTTGAGTCTGATCATGCCAAGAACAGAATGATGATAGATATGTGATACTGTTCCATTTAGAAGCACATTGGTACCTTTTTGTGACACTCATAATCTATTGTGATCATGCTTTCTCTCACCCCCTTCCCCCCTTCCCCCTCTGCCACGTCCCTCTCTTCATATAACTGTAAGTTAGGTAATGTGATACATAAGTTCATGAGAAGCAGTGAAAAGCAACTTTGAGGAATATGAACAAGGAGCATTTAGTTAGAGAGTTCAGAATAAGTTGCTGGTGGAAGGTGGGTCATTGTTAATAGGTACAGGGGCTGTTTTAAACCAACGTTCTGGTGAGTGGTGGCAATTTTGCCTTTAACGTGCTGATAAGGAAAACACCTGTAAATATTTGTATAGATGGTCTGGGGACTTGTGAGGTCGTGTAACTTACACATCAATGACCAAGATCCATTGTGAATCGGTTAATGGAAGAATGAACTCACTACGTGTAACCAAAAGTGACCTTATTGAATGTAAACAGTATTTAATTTTGTTTTTTTTTTTTTAACAATTATACTAGATACATTGCTTTTTCATTGCCTCAACCTTACCCTGGTCATTAATTTGATAGTTTAAAGACCTTTTGTCAATGTACTATTTGTATCCTTCAGGTAAATGCTAGTGGACAGTTTTGTGGGATAGCTGAGATGGTTGGACCTGTTGATTTTGAAAATGATGCGGAGTACTGGCAGCAGGATAGGTGGAGCGGGCAGTTCCCTGTGAAATGGCATGTTGTCAAAGATGTGCCCAATAGTCGGTTCCGCCACATACTTCTTGAAAATAATGACAACAAGCCTGTTACTCACAGTCGAGACTCTCAAGAGGTGAGGGGTTCTGTATTTGTTTTATTTGCGTCTTGAAATTGTGTTTCTGAGTATGAAGCTGTTGAGCTTTGAATTATCCCCTTAAATTAGAGTTACATCTTATTTTTCTCCTCTTCCCCCACCTCTACCGTCCCAAAATTTGTAATGATCACAAAGAATTAGACTTGGTTTTGAAACAGCACCTTTTTTGCTCAAGAAAATTCCGAGCATGGGTGGAAAACACTAATTGATCTACTTGTCTTTGGTTTTTGTGTCACCATTGACATGTGGGTCTTGTATAGGCCCTTTGGGACATTGAGATAAATGTCATCCATCTTTCTAGAGGTTACAGACAAAGCTTGATACTTTTGAGAGTTCTAGCAAGTTTTTCAAAGTTTTGATCTTTCCTAGTAACTGCTTTAAATCATTTTGTTGAATTTGCTATTTTCCCATTATGACTAACCACTGACTTCTATTCAGGTGAAACTTGAGCAAGGAATTGAAATGCTTAAGATTTTCAAGGACTATGAAGCTGATACATCCCTTTTAGATGATTTTACATTCTATGATGAGCGGGAGAAAGCCTTGTTGGAAAAGAAGGCAAAGCAACGAGCTAGTGTGACAGGAAACTCTACTATTGCTCTTGCTGATCCAATTAATCAACTGTCAGACAACCTGGCTGATACTCTGAACTTGGACGGTAGTAAGAAGCTACCAAAAACAGAGTTGGAGTAGTTCATAGTGGTCCGAGATGGATAGCAGGAAGAACGATGTTATAAACCGGATGGAATTAGGTGTAGTTATTTTGGCTGCTGCAATGGTCATATGACTGGACGTCACTGACTGTGATCTTTTAAGGTGGTATTTCGTTTACCTCAGACAGACCATCTCTCATCCTCTCCTTTCTCTCTCGCTCACATATTTGTTGATTGTTTGAAGTAGTTGGTTGTACAATGAAGTTGTTGGGGATGAGGAGGAGCAGGGAGAAAATTTCAAATCCTGATTCCGTCTCTCTCTCTCTCCTTTTTTTTTTTTTTTTTCCGTTTATTACTTTGGCAGTTCTCTTATGATGTAGGTGGCATCAGGCATATGAAGGTGGTTAAATCTGATGTTTCTTTGGAAGTGTGTTTAGTTCACACACTGATGCTTACTGTTTGTACGTCTAGTCTTCTCTTTCTCTGAAAAGCAATTATTTTGACCTGCTGCGCAGTAAAGTCTGTAAAATCCCCAAATTGGTGACAGTTGAATGAAGAAATACAGCATTATGTTACAGGAGCCTAATGAGTACCCTCTTTTTGACAGCTGATCTTGTAAAATAACCAGATGGTCCAGATCTCTTTTTTCCAATCTAGGTTTATCTTTTTCTGTGCACTAGAGTCCGACAAGTACTGTATTGCTTTGGAATACCATAAACTAACTTCAGGAAGTCTGTCATTGTGCAACAAGGACTGGCATCTTATTTTGATGTTTGAAGGATGGCTAAACTAAGTTTTTGTTCTACATGTACGTTTGCAACCTGATTTTATTGTTGTCAGTTGTTCATCTTGGAGGGTATAAGTGAGGGAGGAGATTTTCCTTATGAGTGAATTAAGCACAAGGCAAGGATATGGAAGTATGAAAGACATTCATTTCCCCCTCCCTGCCCCCTTAAAGAGGCAATTTCCACTTCTCATGTGTTTGCCTACATTTTTCATTTTTGCAGCTAGTGGTTGGTTAGGCAACGAATCAAGTTAGATTGTTGCCCCCTTATCGTATAAGCTTGCCATCCTGGAACTCCAGGGTCAAAATTTAGTGGCGACGTAAATTGAAATTTGTAAAGCTGACAAAATGCAGTCTCCAACAATGTAATTGTATGGAAATAAGGTTAAAAAATGTCAGATTCATTTTCGCTTGTGGTTTCAAGTGAGAGAAAAGTCCTTTATTCATCTGTTTTATTGAAACTTTTGTATGGCGCTAGGTGTTCTATTAACAACAGCGCAAAAAACCTCGTCTAAGAGTTAGAAACAATAAGGACAAGCCAAAAAGAGCACGGTTGGAGCTTCAACGAGAGAGGCTATATGACACAAACAGAGATCCTTCCTTTACACCACGAGACTTGGAAGGATGATTACCACTTGACTCTCAATGTGTTGTACAGATCAATGTACTGTCCTGCTGTCTTGTTCCAGCTATTATCTACCTTCATGACTTTCTGTAGAGTCGTAGCCCATTCATTTGGTTCTGCATTAAAAAAGCTGAGTGAGATTACATCCCAAGCAGCAGTTGTTTAAAATCTTAAACTGCAGACATTACAGGTTGCATATAAACACCACTAAATCACAGAACTAAATACACTCACTTTCTCGGTAGTACGAAAATGCACGATCCAGAGCCCAGTTTAGGGAACCTTGATCAATTCCTTCAAAGACAAACCTACACAACAAATACATCTGAGTATAAAAGTTCTGGTCAAAATTCAGGGCCTATTCATGTCTATATAGAGTGTGAAATTTCAGCATTATGGCCTTCTGTTCATGTTCCGAGAAGTTGTTTTGAGTTAGTGCTCACACCCGAGTCACTGTATCGTGCCAATTCTATAATATGATTGTTGAAGCAGAAGACGTATCCTAGCATAAACAGACTAGAGTAGGAATATCAAAAGAAGAAAGACAAAAGTTGACTCAGGACCTAAATTCAAGGGGAATAGTGTAGGTGACTGAAAACAAGGAGAAAAGGTCTACTATTTACCAAGTGCCATTATATTTTTCATCAATCCTAGTGGTAACTGCAAAGATTATATCAGACCAGAAGATAGCCCTGAAACCCTTAAAAATTCAGGGCCAACAATGAGAAGAAAAAATACTTCAACCAAAAAATGAGGAACAACAATCTAAGAAATGAAAGAAAAGACAGCTAATAAAAGAAAACTACATAGTACTGGACTGGTTGAACTAAATGTGATATCCGATTCAAACGCCCAAAAAATGGATAGGCATTAATTTGATTTTTTGGAGCAGATAAAGCAGATCTCGTTTCATATGAACAATGCAAAGGAAAGACGTATAAGGGAAATTTTACTAATACAGCAAGTTCAAGATAGTCCCTTGTTGACTTCATTTTAGAAGACAATACTTATGTTCATGAACATGAAATAGTAGTACTTGTTAATTTGGCAATTTACCATCATTCTTCACAGACAACCAGTATCGAAGCAAAACATAAATCATTTTTAGAGAGGAAAAAAAGCATGTAAGTGTGTCTGCATGAATATAAAAGCAGTTTTGCCAAGCATAATTTAAATCAAATTTCCTTTTACTGGAAGTTGTAATTAAAACTTCTTATCTTATGAAGGGGAGGACTGGAAGCTGAAAACATTTCGGCTCAATTAGATATTTGACAACAGCAAACAGGTCCACAACAAAAGCAGTAGCATTTAAACTTACCGAGTTTTGTGGAAGAGGGAAAGCTTAGTACAAACGATGACAAATTTGTTTAGTCAAACACAAGAAGAGTACGGCTGATAACTTACCCATTAGCCAACTCAGGTTGTGATCCTTCATCTATGTCAAAGACTGTATCTGCAAGACCACCAGTCTTCCTAACTACAGGGATCTGAAAAAACCACAAAATCCTCTTAACCCGCTTTCCAATTAAGAGTGGGTTTACCCAGTTTTAGTTAGTATAGGGACAATTGTTCAAAGAAATTCTCAAGGACTACTCAGAAATTGACGTGCATCCAGCCCTTCAAGTTACCATTAAATGCTTGTCAACAACTTAAGTAGTATAAGGTTCAAAGCATTCTATTTTGTATTAAAAAAGAAGTATGTACCGCCCCATAACGCATTCCAATCATCTGAGCCAGCCCACATGGTTCATACATCGAAGGGACCAACACCATGTCTGCAGCTGCATAAAGCATGTGTGATAGCTCCTCACTGCACGTTGCAGACCCCACAAGGGGAATATCATTATGAGCAGCATTCTAGGCATTTTATGTTATTTTTAAATACTATTAGTGGAAAATTACTTTGGCCAGAGTAATATTATGTTTAATAATGTAAAGATTTCAACATGCATCCAGATGGAACAAGTATGCAAAACAAATTACAACTTCTTAAACAAGGGTAAAGCAAGAAGCTTCATCCTGAAAACTGTCACCTGTACATCAAAAGAATCCTAATGCTGGAGCCTTGGTTGTACTGCAAGAAAGAAAACTCTTTCTTGTCAACTCACCAGAATAATACTGTAAAGGCAAATCATAATTAAAAAATTGGAATCCATGAATAACTTCCAAAGACGTCTTTTCAATGCACTATCTGCTAAGCAGAGTGTGGGTTACAATTTTACTGCATTATACAGCCTAAATGTCACAAATACTATTGAAAATTTTCAGAATTTCTGTAGAACTCACTATCTACTTTTGTAGCATTCTAGCTGACATCACTTTGCGCCTTTGGAAAGCTATATCTCAAGAATGTGCAAACTCGCATAAAGCTATACACAGAGAAATAATTGCTCAAACGTTCTACCATATCACAATCATTTTCTACTAGATTGTCAAAAAATCTTGAAAAGACAATAGCACTTTCAAGCACAGGTTCCCAAAAAACACAAAGACACTTAAGGCATGCGTACAGGAACAAGATACATGACTTTCAGCAATTTCTGCCCTTTTTTTTTTCGTTTTTTGGGGTTGGGGGGGGGGGGGGGGGGGGGGAGGGACACTCTATTTCTAATCTTCCAAAGGTGAAAAGATAATCTGGAAATTACTCTAAATCCCTTACCAAATTTGCAAGATTTTCAAATTCTCTCTCTACCCGACCATCTGGGGCTCTCCCAAGCACTACCATCTGTCCGCCCTACAAAACATGGAAACAAAAATGATATTGTTAGTTAATATCTTACCAACATCTTTGGACAGCGTATAGTAGATTTACAATGGATAAATAGCAACCATATACTTACCACTTCCTGCTTGTAACCAAAAGTAAGTAGCAGTTTTCATGACACTTGTTCGCAAACAACTATTTCAATAGAACACAGAAAAGTAAGAGAGAACTAGCAGAGGAAACTAGAATTACCAGCTGTAGACTCATTTTCACCAACTAGCCTATGCAAGATAGTTTAGAAATGTTTTCCAGAAGAATTCAAATGAAAGGATGCATGCTTGTACTGTCATTTAAAATGATTGGAGTGGATATAGATAAACCTTGAAAACTTACAAAGGATAACAGGCCTATATGATTTGTCATGCAAGCCGCTGGCTATAGCGCATACTGATTCATCATACAAGCCACTGGTGTAAGGTTTTTTGGAAACTTTCATTGAGGTCCAACACTTTCAGCAAACAGCTAATCATGTACAATTAGAAAAAATGCAAGTTTTGCAGTTATTAATAATTGGACAAGGAATCAGATTGTGATGCAACAGCATTTATGATGGATACATCAATCAATACATCTGTTCCACGTATAGGATTCCATGCAGCATCCAGATACAGCTTATTTAGATGATGAGAAACTAGAATAGAATATGATGTGTTCAATGGGCCATGTGATTTCTAGTTAACAGTACACACATCACCACCAGCCACCTAACATGCAGAGAGAGAGAGAGAGAGAGAGACAGAGAGAGCTCACAAGTTCATCAACCCTATGGATGGCATGGGTAAGTAAATGAAGACCCTTTTGAGCAACCAATCGAGTAACACAGACAACCAAAGGCACCCGGTCAGAACCTGAGCTGGTGCCTTCTAAAGCCAAACCAAGTCCCCTTTGAACGAAGCGTTTACATACATTCTTCCCTTGAAAGTTCTCAGCTAAAGACAAAGTCACAAAGATGAACAAAAGAAATCAGAAAAGCCAAGAAAATTCAGAGTGCACATAATTGACTGCAGATGCAAGGACAGAATGGAAGAGTTCCTTCATGGCATCATGCTGTGCAACATGCAATTTTCAAATGTTAAGAGATATGAGTTGGAGGTGAGCCATCGTTGACGCCCAATTGACCACAGCCTTCTTGTGCATATATTATATATGTTAAATATGCAGCAAATGTCAGAAACGACTTCTTAATGCCACAAAGAGATTGAATCACCAGATAACACTCTTTAAGTAAAGTACAATAGGAAAGGTCTAAAAATCCTAGAAATAAAATGAATAAAAAATTGAGATCCCTACAGAAGCTCAGGATAAAGTTCCCAGATTAGGTTAAAAAATGGTGAAAGCAAACCCAACACCAACTCTATCAATAGTAAACACAAATTGACAAATAAAATGCATAGAAATAACCAAGCAACCCTGAAATACCAATCGAAAATACAATTCTACTCATCTGGAAACATTTCCTTTCGGCCACATGCAATTATGGTGGTCTCACTGCAGTCCAAGAGCTTTTCATTTTTCATCGTTTGCTATACTTGCAACCAGGCCAATAAAAAAAAATACAAACTGATGGCTACTCTTGCCTACAATGAGCTCATGTA